ATAAAATGACATGTACCTTCTGCACTTTTCTATTATATGACATGTTGTAAATTATTTATTTCCACAATATAAAAGCATGCGTTATTTTTCTCCCTAAAAATATAAAAGTTATCTTATTTCTAATTTTGAGCTATCCAATATGCAATTAAGGTTTTATTTTATAATAACAATTATTGGCTTGTAATCATTTGTTGAAATTTATATATAACATAAGTTTGCATAAATAACAAAAATGATTCATTCTACTAAATATACATATCATGTGTAAAACAAAATACTAATCTTATTATTAAATAGTCAGGTTATTTGCTATATATGAAAGTATTTATAATGTAATACAAATTTTTTATTGATTGGAAAATATTTTGAACATATAAAAAATTACAAAAATCTTTATTGAAAATTTAATCTTTGTATATATTTTGCGTGGCATATAACTTTCTCAATATTAACATGTATGATATTATATTATTACATAAAATATATTTTGGAAAAAAGTAATATACAAAATTATATATGTTATAGGATTATCTGCAATGGGTGAAGGTAGTCAAAAAGTCGATAATTCTTCAGACAAGGTAAATAATAACCGGCTTTAATTGCAATATTAATGTAGTTTAGTTATGAACATTTACTATTAATTATAACATCGACGTGATAATTTTTTATTACTGCATAAATTAGCATTCTATATGTATTTATATATTAATAATTACATTTAAACTTATATTTGTATTATCTGAAATACACGACACAACAACACACGTACGTAGTTTACTATATTTAAGATTATATATGAATTTTAATTTTTTCAATAATCTTTTCAGTCGTTGGATTCTTGCAAATTGACGCGAAAGGAATCGTATAAAGCACAAAGAAAAAATTATCGAATGGAAAAGAAAAGGGTAGCCAATGAGCTTTTAAGTTCTTTCAAGGATCCAACTGTTATTGTTATGAGCGATTGGTTAAAAGTACGTGGTACCCTAAAAAGTTGGACCAAATTGTGGTGTATTCTGAAACCTGGATTATTATTGCTATACAAAAGCCCGAAAACAAAGGTTTGTGCGTGTATTGTATATATATATATATATTCTCCTAACTATGTGTTTTTTATCACAAATGAAATAATATTTATGTATTTATTGCAGAGTAATCATTGGGTGGGAACGGTACTACTTAATACATGTCAAGTTATAGAACGTCCAAGTAAGAAAGATGGATTTTGTTTTAAATTATTTCATCCTTTGGAGCAATCTATATGGGCCCCACGAGGACCGGAGAATGAAACTATCGGTATGTAATTGCATTATTTTCCCCAGCTATTATATACAAAATATATATAATAAAATAATATTTTGCCGTGTCTCTCTTAATGTATGTATGTCGGATTGTTTTTATACGATAATTTGATTTTACTAGAATATACAAAATAATAATCATATTCAGTTATAAATATAATAATGTGTGAATTATAGATGAATATTATCATTTTAGGCGCCGTTATGCAACCTTTACCAACATCTTATTTAATTTTCCGAGCTCCATCTCAAGCGGCAGGCAAATGTTGGTTAGACGCACTTGAGTTATCGTTACGTTGCTCTTCGTTAATAGTCCGTTCAACAAGTGTATTACCACGTACATTACCGCATGATACAACCACGACTCATGAAACTCAGTGGAGTGAGGCGGATTATGAAAAGCATTTTGATGACCACGGTTAGTATTGTATCATTAACAACGTTTTCATATGTAATATTCAAGTGTAATTTTCAATGGAAATGGAATATGTTGTATATGGACAAAATCTTCATAGCGATATCATATAGTGTATTAGGGTATATGTATATATCGCAATCACTGCAAAAAGAAAAAAGAATCGTGTATGATCGATATTTTTTATAGTACAGTTGGCTACGAATAAGTGGGGAATTACATAGGGACTCGTGAAGACATTTATTAATTAGAAAAATATATTTTGTAAAGAGTGCAGTTTTTGTGGATGATGCATGGTGATTTGTCAATTTGCGCTGCTATTGGTGAAAGTAATTAATTTCAAATTATTCATCTTTGTGTCACATGATTTTTACATAACCAAACTTATACAATAATAGTGATCATACATTTGGAGATTTATTTATTTTTAGTTAAAATTTGAGATTTATATTATTGTTATTTAGTACTATTTCAGTTTTCAACATTATCAAATATTTGAATAAATAGATGCTAAATTGCAGTGTCGGCAAAGACCAGCCCACTTGAAATTAAATAGAAAATAAGATAGTGTTATCTATTTGCAATTTTTAATTCACGATAAGATAATTTTTAATTGCTTAATTCATAAACTATTTATGTCTCGACAAAAATTAATCTTGAATAATTCAAAGGGCTTATTATTAAAATGACTCAATTATTATTAAGATTTAACAATCTTGAAACATTGAATGAATGATGCAAGAATATTTTGATTTTTATCGTGTTTCATTTGTATTATACCAGTATTAACGAAAACTTAGGCATAAAAATTGACAGAAAATAATGATCAGTTACTGTTATTTTTTCCTTGCTATTTACACTGCTTACACTGTCTTGCCTTGCTTTTTTTTTGCACCAGTATGTCTAAGTCATTACATCCCAAGATCACCTACAACATCTCAGAGACGCTTGTTATTGTGTCCGCAGCCGCTTTCACCTGCTATAACACGTGATCCTAGAAGCGTTTGTCCCTCACCGACCCCAATGTTTCAACATCTTTATCATGCAGTCGCATATTGGGAAAAACAATTGCTTGACCGATCTCCGACACCTGGCACAGATCAGGAGAATGTTGTCTCTTTGATTTCTGTTGAGGAACCAGATGGTGGTGATAATCAACCGTCTGGTTTTTCACGTCCCAGTCCAGCAAACCATCCAGCAATTTCCTCAGCACATTGCATGACCATTCCTTCTGTGCATGTCTTAGAATACGACACCCATCAAGTAGTAACGCTAGATCCTGTGTACACCTCGCATACAGACCTGGACGATATCAGTCAGCCAGAGAATGGAGTAGCAGCTGATGCTGAAATCAGTGTCTCGGATAGCGAATCTGAGGGATCAGCCAAGGAAGATCAGTCGGAGCCAATCACTGAAACACCATATACATCTAATGAGAATGAAGTTCTTGGAGCGGTAAGCATTAATTGTATGTGAACACTTTAATTGTTTCGCGAAGATATTTACCGTATTTTAATCATATTTAATCATAACATGACAAGTAAGTCTATTTTGACATTCTCATAAGTATGTGTTATATATCTTATATTTATTTCTATAATATTATATATATACGTTCTTATTTATAAATAGGCTGGGGAAGTTGTCGCTGAATTACAAGAAGAACAAAAGTCTTTGATATGGTTCTTACTGAAACAAGTTCGTCCTGGTATGGATTTGTCTAAAGTTGTATTGCCAACTTTCGTTTTGGAGCCACGTTCGTTTCTGGAAAAACTGGCCGATTCGTACTATCACGCTGATATATTGTCTCAGTTAGTAATGCACAGTAGTATATTATGTTTTGCTTATGCAGTAAGAACGTTAGATCTCTCAACCTTTATTTCATTATACAGAGCAGTATTGGAAGATGATGCATTTACGCGTATGAAAACTGTAGTGAAATGGTACTTATCAGGATTTTATAAGAAACCACAAGGTCTGAAAAAGCCTTACAATCCACTTTTGGGCGAAACATTCCGCTGCTATTGGCAACATCCTAATGGTTCAAGAACATTCTACTTAGCCGAGCAAGTAATGTTCAAAAGATGACTTATATTAATAGTGTACCAATCGACTTGTCTATTATCGGAATGCTCTGGAAATACCTGTTTTAATTTTAATAACTGGCTTTTTTACCAATACGGAATCAATATATATGCACACAACGAATTATTGATTTTTTTTTTCTTTTTATATACAAGTATTATTATGTTCTGTCTTAATACATGTGTGTCTAAATATTTCTGGCCAGTTATCGCATCATCCACCTATCTCAGGATTCTACGTGACAAATCGTCAAGATGGATTTACTATTAGCGCTACAATTATTGCAAAGTCTAAATTTTATGGTAAGCGTATTCTTTTGCTATTTATCAGACATAATGATACGATGGAGTGATGCTTCTAATATCCAGCCATAATTTTACTTGCAGCACATATATTTTTCTTTTTTTTTCTTACAGGGAATTCAACCTCCGCAGTTTTAGATGGAGTCGCTATATTAACGATGCTGCCAAGAGGTGAAGATTATACAATGACAATTCCTTACGCGCACTGTAAAGGTTTGCTAATGGGAACGTTGTCTATGGAACTCGGCGGAAAAGTGAACATAATATGCGAGAAAACCGGCTATCATTCAGAATTAGAATTTAAACTGAAGGTAATGAGCCCAACGTTATTTTGGTCGTCTATAATGCGTCGAAGTCATCAATAAACCCTCGATTTAAAGGGTATATAAAAATAACTGACATTTTTAGCCGTTCCTTGGCGGTGCAGAATTAATGAATCAAGTCGTGGGACGAATACGCCTAGGAAAAGAAACTCTTGCTACTATATCCGGATATTGGGATGGACAGATTTCAATAACGGATAAGCGAACAGGAGTAAGTTAAATACGAATTTTGGTCGGCTTTTTCAGTTAATCATAAAAAAAAACAAAATGTTTTATTTCTCAGCAAGAAAATGCATTCTTCAATCCAACTCCGGAAATACGTAAGAACAGGTTAAAGAAATACACCGTCCCGATGGAATATCAGGGGCCGTGGGAAAGCGAAAAATTATGGCACGCTGTGACGCTAGCTATTGATAATGACGATCAATTTGCCGCTACTCAAGCTAAAACCCAACTCGAAGAAGCACAAAGGGAACGTGCTAAGGAGCGGAAAATCTTGGGACAGGAGTGGGTCCCAAAATACTTTGTTCAAGTACGACATGCGTCGTTTCAATGCTTGTTAATAGTTATTTGCATAGTCTGATAATACAATTTTTGTGTTCTGCGTCATTAGGATATTATAACAGGAAATTGGGTGTATCGCCATGCTGACGTGAGACCGTGGGACCCGAGAAACGATGTAGTACAATATGAAGAAAATTATATAGTACGCACAAAGACTAGACACAAAACACCTATTATGCGTACTGGTAGTATTGTTTCTACTGAACCGCAATCACAGGTACAGCGATGTAGGATCTAATTTGCACTGTGCATGCTAATTTATTATTTAATACTACACATACAAGTAACATTATAATTAACATAATTCTTATAATTTAGCTATTTTAATCTTTTTTAATAGTCCTACGGAGAGCAACTGTGCATGTTATATATTACTTTGTTTTATCTACTATTAATGAATTTGAGTAGACTGTTTATACATCCAATATTTATAATAAACTTGTCTCTTTTTCACTCGGAGCCTGTATTAGTCTAGTATTAATCGTTATTATCAAATCTGTTCATAAAGTTGCTTTTTTATGTTATGTATTTTTTATATATATATAATCTTGAAACTACATTGCAAATAAAAAATATATATCTAAAATTATTATATTTAAAATAAGTCTTAAATATATACATATCCTTGAGGCCTATGAAATAAAAAGATGACTTTAATTATTGGGGTTTTTTTCTGTAATTTTGAATGTCTTGCATATATGTTGCCGTCTTTCCAAAGTAGCAGGCTACGTATGCTATTTTCATCTGGGAAGAAACTTAATGCAAGGAATAACACCAAGATCTTAACAACAAAAAGACTGAAATTAAATTTGCAAGCTAACATCAATGGAGAATATATATAAAATATCATACATGCTATTCTGGAAGAATATTAATCACACTTTCCCTTCTGCTTATCATATTGTGCATTTTTAATATTTGCGACATATACAAGTAAGATTCTAATTACCTCATCGATATCTGTTCAGTTTAAATAATAAACGATTTACTAAACAAAAAAATGCTGGGTCATACATGATATGGACAATTAATTAAAGCTTTGAGTTCGGAAATTATGTAAAGAAAATAATAATGGATGTAGTTTAATATCTTCTTTAATTTTCTGTAAAATGTATCACGCACTTGTTACACATATTCATAAATTCGATTATACATGCAGTTTTAAAAATTGTACCGTTAAGAATATTATTTAGACTATATGTATAAACAATAATCATTGCAGATTCCACTGCTACAAGCTGAATCGCGTTCTTCCTTATCGGTGCTTAAATCTTCAAAGAGACAGCTATCTAACAATATGCCTTTGACAGAGCCAGCGCATGATTCCGGAAGCTCATCTGCTGAAGCACATACCGATTCTAGTCAATCGTTAGGGAAAAGAAGACGTTCAACTGCTAGGTGAGATCGTTAAAATATTAAAAATACCTCAATCATAACGTATTGTTATGTAAAATTTACGATAATGCGCACCGATACGTGCAGAAAATGCAATATCTGATAATATACACGTAAATATTAATTTCAGGATAATAGATATAATAAAAGAAGTGGAACATCAAATGCTGGAGCATGGTGAAAAACTGAATCGGATACAGCACATCGTGGAGCAAGTTGCAAAGAAGCAAAGAGAATATGCTGAACTGCAACACAACAAAAACCTATTTAAAAGTTTCTTGGATGTTGTGTTTATATTGATTATTGTTTTCTTCACGTTTTATTTTGCAAACATATGGATTCGTGATTCAAACAAGGGTTGAACAAAATGGCTGGCAGGGTTGTTGCGTATTTTTTCGTTGTTATTGTTATTTCTGTGACAATGAGTTATATGTATTTATATATTTACATATACATCAGTTACTCTCCCTAAAACTCTTGCAACGTGGTGTCGGTACTGTTTCATAATCATCACGTGGTGGGAAGCACATTGTTTCAAGAAAACAAAAATTTTTTTTATTCCAAAACCATACAACTTATGTATGAAACATTCATCGATGTAGGAGTTAAGCATAAATAGAACATCTGATGTGTAGATTCAGTGCAATGGTATTTTTGTTATAGTTCCAGACAGCGCAATTTTAAATACAGAAGCTAAACTAACAATCTATATGAGCTTATAATGTATATAGAGCTTATATAATATATGGGAAAATATAGTTTTTGGATTATTGATTTAACTTTCATTGCAATCAGTATCAAATTGTAATATAATTATGCAAATGTAAAAATGTTAAGATCTTAATCTTTGCAGCTAATTTATTGTAAATCTACTTGTAAATTTATTTCTATTACCGTGTATGTAATAATAATTTTATTCTAATGTGGTATCAAATTTACAACAATGTCGTACTCTATAAGTCGCATTTATGCTTTACATGATTTGGTTACTTTAATATTGAATATTTGCATTGCATAGAGAATATCGAATGTTGCATGTTGGTAAAAATTTTCTCTAAAACGCGCACGCGCACACATACACACACACACACACACACACAAAGTGAGAGAAAGCTTGCAATGCATTATATTTACTTGTTAAGCTCGTTCATGTGATATCCCAATGATACCATGCAATACCAGATTTGTACATACAAAAAAATTTATGCAATCTGTATAACATTACTATCCGACAGTTATTGACAGTTTTTTTAATCAGTAAATGTATTTATGTAATTTTTGGAAATTTTAAATTCAATAAAATATAGTCTAGTTTAACAGACCGTCCCATGACATGTACAGCTACCCTAATCATGTGTTGGAAAAAATTTCCTTGTTATAAATTATAAATAAGTAATTTAGAAAGAAAATTAATAAGAACGTGTAGGAATATGGATGGTAACTCGCCTTTTAACATGGTATTTTAACTTATAATTCGTTGATATTTTTTAATTATATGTTAGAAACAATTATATCTTGTCATTGAATATGATTCTAATGCACATATATCTCTTCAGCATTGTATTTTTATCATAAATTCCTTTCTATTATATAAGGATACAATTTTCTTTAATATATATACTGAGACATTATCAAATTTTCTTAATTATATATATAAGAAAAGATTATAAGTGTATACAAATTTTTATATATATTTTCACCAACAAAATATGATCTAATTTGAAAGGTTCAGAAGAATCCCCAAA